AAGATCGCTGAATTCGTGGAAGTGAAGAAGAGAGAAAGTCGCATTCGGGAAACATGAGCACATAGCTAAACGAAATCATATAGAGTTTGACATATCGATTTGGGTTAGGGTAAGGCAGTTGCCGGATGGAGAAACACGTAAGGATGGGTATGAATTGATTGCAGGGCGCACATATTCGCAGTGTGATGCGAATGACTGGGGCACATGTGCGTATTGAAGGCGGTGGAAGTTTGATCAAAGACAAGAAAGATAAAGTTGATACCAAAGATGCAAAGGTGATCGATCATCTTACGTTAAACATTCTAAATGTTTATTGTCATAATCAAATTTTAGGAAGTTTCGCTGAGTGGCTGTCATCTGTAAAGCATGAATTTCAGGAAGTGAATGCTGATGAAGCAGAGAAAGGTGATGCAGACAGTAAACAGACCGATGCATCACCAGAAGAGAAATCTCCTGAAAGTAACGAAGAGGGTGCTGGTGATGCGGAGAAAAGTGCAAAGAAAGATGAGAAGGAGATCACTGATAAGGTTCTCTGATACCTTCTGTTGTGTGATTCTTCATATTGACGTCAAATGTGATCAAGATTCAATACGACTAAGATATGAAAATATGTAAACACTACAAAAATTGTCATTGCCAACTATTCAGCAGTTTTGTACCTGTTCATATCTAAGTTTCTAAATTGGTGACATGTCTAATAATTTAATCGAACTAGTGAATGGTGTTAACATTTATCGTTTTGATTGTGGCCATCATTTTGACTGATGCTGTTTTCAGGTGGCATCAATTTCAGTATCGAAATCATCAGATAAAGAAAAGGAGAAGGAACGAGAAAAAGAAAAAGATTTACATGCTGATGAACGTCTTGTTACAATAACTGGTAATGAAGGGCAACAGTACAAAGTTTGTTGTCGTTTCTTCGTTATTTCATTACCAAATTTCATTTTTCGTAACGGTTCTATTGTGGTGACTTATCATCGTTTTAAAGATTCGAGGATGATGCTCTCTTAGAGGTATGATTTTTGCATTGAATCGTTGTTGTGTAAAGAACGTGAATCACTGCTGAGACAGTTGTTCAATTGGTAAACATCGATGTATTTGATTGTCGATCCTTGTGCACAAACTGAGGATCGTCGAATCAGAAATTCGACCTGGCCTCTTAAGAAGACTTCTTTGATGTTGCTCTGTGTTGGATTCTTCTTCACCTTGTGAAATTCAAGCATTGCACAGAGCACGTCAAGGAAAGGTGAAGCTAGCTTGTTGTACTGAAAACTTCAATGCGAGGTTCTTTGTATTGTTTGTATACTAAGAATTATGTCACTAGGCTCAATTCTGGATCTATCAGCGTGTTGCCGAACAAAGTTATCACTATTTGGATGAGGTTCGTCTGTGCACCGAAATCAATGTGCCAAGCAAACTTGTTGGACGTATCATTGGGAAAGGAGGTCAAAATGTAGGTCGCGCTTATTGTTTATTTATTGCTTCAGATTTTATTACTGGACATCTCTTCACTCGTTTCGGCATTCAAACATATTGNATTGATTTTTGAATTGGATATATTTCATTTTTTACTGCATGTATTTTAAAATTATATTTAAGTCTTTTCTTTTCCGTTAGCGTTTTAGTTTTCTGTCATGCTTTCTGTTCATATTTTTGCATTAATTTTGTGTTGAAGAAATGTTGTTGAGAGCATCGTTAAATTCAATTGAAGAAAATGTCGTTTTGAGTGATTCTGAATTTTGTTGCTTATTCGAGGTTCGTGAATTACAACGTGTAACTGGTGCACAAGTGAAAATACCGGATGATGCGGGTGAAGATGAAACACAAGAATCGACAACAGTACGTATCCTTGGCAATTTCCAGGCATCACAAGCCGTTCAAGCTAGACTCAATCAACTCATTCATGAATTTACACTTAGACAGTCAATCTGGCCTGCTAATGGCCAACCGCATACACAAGGTATTTGAGAGATAGAGATTAATTGATTCGAGTTTTAGCACATTAATCAACCATTGTGAGACTGATTGTATTTTGCACCCAAATTGACACATAGTAAATGATATCTGAATGCAACTGATCATAAACCGTATTCTTGAACTCAGATAACTGATTGAGGATTATATTAGCGATATGANATGACATCTTTTTGAATTGCACAATTGTGATAATTAAAGATTTAAGTTCATCGATGGGTGTTTGGCAATAGTGGTAGTTTACTTGTGGGTGCAATTCCAAACTGAGTTTTTGCCTTAAGGTGTAGGATAAGTAACTGGCTAGCTGAATTTGATTGGGGAGTTGTTAGTTGTTGATTGTTGAAATGCATGAGTCATTTTTTCAGGTGTTTGAGAATTAAGTGAGTGTGATTTGAAAAGATGAGTGTTTCTGCTGGTTCATTTTTAGCTTAGAAAGTGGGGAAAGAAATAGCGAATTGAACCCATTGATCGAATTTATATTTATGATTCGGTGCGATTTGTATTCATCGTATCCAATTTGCTAATGAACGACGATTCGTAGAGACCGACCGAAAGATGGATGCTGATACGTTTGTGCTCATCAGTTGTTGATCTGTTATCTCGTCTGCATCCGTTCAGTCATTTCACCTCATTCCGATCAAAAATCCTTATTGTTTTTTTCAGAACCCAGATTCTCAACTCCATCCCACTTAGAATCATAAGCTGCCTGCAAGATTTTGTCTTTTCACAATCAAAGCGGAACACATCAATAAGTATTGAGAATTTATTATATTCTCTCACAATCTGGGAGTAATTATCCGCATTTAGGAGAATATAGTTGTTTGAATGGGTGGATATATTACTGAATTTTTAATTGATGTGTAAATTAATTTGTCGCTACTGAAGTGTAATTTCAAGTCGTTCGGCTTAGGTAAAGGAGATTAATTTGATAAATGTGGTTGATTATAATATTTGTTTGTTATGCAGGAATGAGCTTGATGCATCATAGCGTGAACAGCATTTCGCATCACTAGAGCGAAGAGAAGCCGACCGTGCATAGGATAATTCACATTAACTCTTTTGCTAGCGGCGTAGAATTGAGGGATGCATTCATAGACTGTTATATCCACTGTGCCATCATCAGTTCATTTATTTCTGTCATCTTTGTCAAACTACAATATATGTCAGTTGAATGATATTTTGGAATAGTGGTTGAAAAAATAGCTGATTGTGGATGAATTGCGATTTGATAAAGTGTGGTATAAGGTATGGGTATTTGATTGAGCAATGACATTAGTTAATCGTGTTGTTACTGAAGTAAGCGAGTTGTCTAACACTTAGCATTGCGTTTGTTTATTTTTGTTGTTGCTGTTGTTGTTGTTGAACGTTTTGAGTTATTCGCCTAGTCGGTCTTGATGAATTTTTGATGGTTGAGGAAACAAATTGTATGTTATATACTTGTTCAGTGATGGTGGGTTCGTTCTTACGATTAGCGATAGTAGTGCCCTGAAGTGCGAGCATTGATTGAGCGAGCGATTGATTGAATTTTCATGCTGCCAACTTATTGTTCCTTTCTTTGCATAGGGTGGTGAGATGTCGTTCGTATGGACTGATTTTTTGTGGATTCAGTTTGGTTTTGGTGTGTGCTAGCAGTTTGTTGATAGTCTTTTGAAGGATGCTGAAATGATGAACACCATCGTTGAAAGTTTCGCTTAATATACATCATATATTGCCTATATGTATGTATATGTGCTACATGCGTATGTATGTATGATATAAATGTGTTCAATTTACTGGCTACGACGAATGGTTATTGAAAATTGGTGTTTAGAGTTGTTGCTTTTGATGATTTTACGATAATTTGATTCAATCAATTAATCGAATTTTCTAAAAAAAAAGTTTATACACATACATCAGAATGGAACTTATTGACTGTGTGTATGTGTATGTAATTTGTTTTTTTAGAATATTTAATTGTTGTTGTTATTGTTGTGCTCGCAAACTGATACATATAACGGTAGTGATGATATGATTTGTTGTTATGATAATGTAGTGCGGTGGTTGGATGACGTTTTTTCTTTGTAACTGCGTTGTTGGTCACACTTTTAATGCTTTTTCAAGAATAAACTTTTTATTGATACTCATTTTGGAAGTGTCTTCTTTTCGCTTACCTTCGTCGGGGAACGTTTTGAAACGGAACAATTCAGGGATGAAATGGTGCGCTGATGAAATCTCTTCTATTGTTTCATTCCGTTCTGTCTAAGTTGACAAACAACTCCACCCTCTCGAAATTGGTTTTTACCACGAAACGATGGAATTATTAAGGGAAGCAGTTGTGACCGTTACTTGTTGCTATGTCGTTGCTGATGTGATTGTTATCCCGACTGACTGTTATGTGTAACAATATGTCGAAAATCAGAAATGTTTGCNCTTTCATAGTGAACGGTAAATTTTTGCCTTTTTTTCTGAGTGAGGTCAACGAAAAGTGAAAAAGATTTTTGCCTTTTCATTCTTTCTGAGAAATAATCCAGAATTGGTTTTTTCAAACACATACGAAGTATTTAGTGGGATGGCTAGTGACATTAAAGAAGTGCTTGTCAGTATCAGTTGATAATGGAATCGATGAGATCAGTGATTACTTAGGATGAGATAATTTTAACAACGGATAAGTGTGTATGATTAAGGATGTGAATTGCGATTGTATATTCATTTATTCATTCATTTGTTCGTTTGTCCGTGCTCGATATGAATTGTTTTTGTGAGCACAGTTGACGAGTCATTCGAATAATTTGTGTTGCAGACGTTATATTGTTATTGTTTTTGTTATTGTGATCATAGCAGTAGCCAGTAAGTGAATTAAGTTGTTTGAAACGGGAATTTGTGATTTGGTCTCAGAGTGCGTGCAGCATGTTATGATGCCCTCAGCAGTCTCAGTTCGATAGCATCTCTCTATTGAGCATGGACATACCCAGCACATACCTTCATCATTTTCATACCTCCGGAACATGTGCAGAAAAGGTGGATACTTTTCAAGAAAAGATTACATTCAAACAGATTGAAGATGTAAGAGTTAGTGCTTTTTTGTTTAGTTTCTAATGGCAACGTTATCCGATCAAAATGGAATTGTCGAATAATTCGAGATCATGATGCACTTTTGTTTGTTTCTTTTTATGTGCATCTTTCGGCATGTGCATATGTTTGTCATGATGCATTGGTCGCATTTGATTGAAACAACGTGCCGATTTTATTTGTGCGATTCTAAGCACTAACCGTTTGTGTCCCAAGAGAAAATCATAAAAAGCATCATTTCCACGTTTTTAGGATAATGGTAGCCCACGTAGTATTGAAGCAAACGAAAAGTTGATGTGTTGATCGCATGTTTAATTA